GGGGGAGGAGCTTGACCTCAGCTTCCTACCTGATGACCTCAGCACGCAGGACGAGGCGGGGCGTCACGATGACACAGGTGTGACATCACAGATGATGCTTTACAGAAAGAAACTATAGATCAATAATTTAATGTTCGCTTTACACTTTTATTCACGATAACATTTAGTGAAGTCACACTGAGCAACACTTTATATTAGAGAAATAAACGATTTACTAAAACAGGGCTGAAAACATGTTATCACTATTATTCTGACTGACTGGATCCGATCTGCTATATTAGAGGAAAAATCAACAAACACTGAACCAGAATGATGAGTTAGTCTATTGGATCTTTGAGCTGTGTCAAACCTTAAGACCATATTTCCTTCAAAACCTTTAAAATGTGAACCGAAGCTCATAGAATAAATCCGTTTAAAAAACACTGGCAGGTGGGTGTGGCTCTGTGAGGTCCCAGGAGGCGGGTTACCTCTGAGTTTTGGGGCGAGTCAGCGCTGACAAAACATTTTTTCGACTGAAATGGTCGTTCGCTGAACACCCTGTTGTGGACGCAAGCGCATTGCGTTTTCCTGCCTTGTGTTTACAAATTGTCGCCGCTGAATGGGTAAAACCTGTGACACGCCCACCAACAGAAGAAAACGTACCTCAAAGCCCGTTGCAGAACGTTGCAGAACGTTACGAGGAAACATGTTCAATCTGAAAATGTTGCAAACCGGTGCAGAACGTTTTGATTGAACTCTCCCCTGATCTGTTGCAGCAGAGAGTCAGACTGCAGCTCTGGACGTGTCTCAGGACAGGCGTCTGTCTGGACTACAACTCCCAGGGTTCAACAGCAGCTGACCCCCAGCAGGGGTCGTCCGTGTCGGGGCTGGGGACCGGAGCCTCCCCCTTCTGTGCCATGACCCCTATGACCCCCATGACCCCCATGACCCCCGTGACCGAGAGGTCAGGAATCATCCCACAGTTACAGTAAGTCACAATGTGTACCGATACTTTATCTGCAGTGCCAATACAACCTAAGAAAAAGTGTGGCCCCCCCAGTGGCCCCCCCTGGCAAGGAGCAAATGTATAAAATCGCTTGCGCTCTCTCTCGCATTCAATTCAAATTAGCTTTATTGGCATGAATGTAACAACATTGCCAAAGCATCATGTATACAACATAAGAACAATCAGCCCCATACATTTCATTAAACAAGTGTAAAGCGTCAAAGTGTGTTTGTGTTAAAAAAGAAGCAAAAAAATTCAAATAAAATGCATAAACAAATCAGTAAGTGGGTGTGTGTGTGTGTGTGTGTGTGTGTGTGTGTGTGTGTTTAAAAAATAAAAAATATAAAAAATAAATAAAACAGTAAGCATGTGTTAAAAAAATATAAATGAAACGGTAAAGTGTGTGTGTGTATATTAATAGACAAAAAAATAATTGATTAAAAAATAATGATTTAAAAAAAAAAGAAATCAGTATCAAATGTAAAAACAAAACAAGTAGTAAAATATCAAACAATCAAAATAATAATAATTTTGAAAATCTGTACAATTATTTGTTAGTCTGAGGTTCCACTGGTTGTCCTCACTTCATGGCATGAGGAGATATTTTGCAGCAATTATTTCACATTTGAGCATTTCTCCCAGTAAATAGGGAGTTTCTGTGCGTCTGATATGAATTTGAATTCGGGGTATATTGGGAAATGTTTGCAAGGTGTTTTGTCTTAGTGTTTTATATTTGGGGCATGAGGTTAGAAAGTGCAGCTCTGTCTCTACCTGTCCTCTGAGTCTCTACCTGTCCTCTGAGTCTCTACCTGTCCTCTGTCACACTGGCAGCAGAGTCTCTCCTCTTGTGGTAGCCAGCTCTGTCTGTGACGACCCTTTTCTATGGCCAGGCTGTGTTCACTCAGTCTGTATGTTGTCAACATTTCTTAGTTTGGGACATTTTATTGTACTCAGGTAATTTGCCAGTGTGAATTCTCTTTTTAGGGTCAGATAACTTTGTGATTTACTTTGTGTTTTGGTTGTTTCTTTCCAGTATTCAGTATATTTTTCTTTCTGCTTGCTGATAATTTGGTTTGGTCTGCTTGAGTTGGTGTTGCTGTCCTGAGGCTGTTGGGGACTGCAGAGAGCCTCAGGACCAGCTGGCTGAGGGGACTCTTCTCTGGTTTCAGCTCCTGGTATGTTAGGGCTTTGTGATGATATGTCTGGGTTAACTGATTGTAAGTGATTGATTGTAAAATTTAAGTGATCTTTTCTGTATTTTTAGTAGGAGAGGGTTTTGGTCGAGCTCTGCTCTGCACAGGTTATTTGGTGTCTTTCTCTGCACCTGCAGGATGTTCTTACAGAACTCAGGATGGAAAGATTCTATGATTGTTTTATCCCATTTGTCAAATTCATTACTAAGTTTTGGCCCCCAAAACAATAAAGAATTATTGGTTCTAGTACAAATTGTAAAATTTTCAGCCAGATTTCAATTGGAATATATATTTTAATGTTGGCTCTGTACAGACCCAGAGAGTCCCCTCGTAGCCCGCCGTTGACCATGTACGGACCCAGAGAGTCCCCTCGTAGCCCGCCGTTGACCATGTACGGACCCAGAGAGTCCCCTCGTAGCCCGCCGTTGACCATGTACGGACCCAGAGAGTCCCCTCGTAGCCCGCCGTTGACCATGTACGGACCCAGAGAGTCCCCTCGTAGCCCGCCGTTGACCATGTACGGACCCAGAGAGTCCCCTCGTAGCCCGCCGTTGACCATGTACGGACCCAGAGAGTCCCCTCGTAGCCCGCCGTTGACCATGTACGGACCCAGAGAGTCCCCTCGTAGCCCGCCGTTGACCATGTACGGACCCAGAGAGTCCCCTCGTAGCCCGCCGTTGACCATGTACGGACCCAGAGAGTCCCCTCGTAGCCCGCCGTTGACCATGTACGGACCCAGACAGTCCCCTCGTAGCCCGCCGTTGACCATGTACGGACCCAGACAGTCCCCTCGTAGCCCGCCGTTGACCATGTACGGACCCAGACAGTCCCCTCGTAGCCCGCCGTTGACCATGTACGGACCCAGAGAGTCCCTCGTAGCCCGCCGTTGACCATGTACGGACCCAGACAGTCCCCTCGTAGCCCGCCGTTGACCATGTACGGACCCAGAGAGTCCCCTCGTAGCCCGCCGTTGACTCTGTACGGACCCAGAGAGTCCCCTCGTAGCCCGCCGTTGACCATGTACGGACCCAGACAGTCCCCTCGTAGCCCGCCGTTGACCATGTACGGACCCAGAGAGTCCCCTCGTAGCCCGCCGTTGACCATGTACGGACCCAGAGAGTCCCCTCGTAGCCCGCCGTTGACCATGTACGGACCCAGACAGTCCCCTCGTAGCCCGCCGTTGACCATGTACGGACCCAGACAGTCCCCTCGTAGCCCGCCGTTGACCATGTACGGACCCAGACAGTCCCCTCGTAGCCCGCCGTTGACCATGTACGGACCCAGACAGTCCCCTCGTAGCCCGCCGTTGACCATGTACGGACCCAGACAGTCCCCTCGTAGCCCGCCGTTGACTCTGTACGGACCCAGACAGTCCCCTCGTAGCCCGCCGTTGACCATGTACGGACCCAGAGAGTCCCCTCGTAGCCCGCCGTTGACCATGTACGGACCCAGAGAGTCCCCTCGTAGCCCGCCGTTGACCATGTACGGACCCAGACAGTCCCCTCGTAGCCCGCCGTTGACCATGTACGGACCCAGACAGTCCCCTCGTAGCCCGCCGTTGACCATGTACGGACCCAGACAGTCCCCTCGTAGCCCGCCGTTGACCATGTACGGACCCAGACACCCCTCGTAGCCCGCCGTTGACCATGTACGGACCCAGACAGTCCCCTCGTAGCCCGCCGTTGACCATGTACGGACCCAGACAGTCCCCTCGTAGCCCGCCGTTGACCATGTACGGACCCAGAGAGTCCCCTCGTAGCCCGCCGTTGACCATGTACGGACCAGAGAGTCCCCTCGTAGCCCGCCGTTGACCATGTACGGACCCAGAGAGTCCCCTCGTAGCCCGCCGTTGACCATGTACGGACCCAGACAGTCCCCTCGTAGCCCGCCGTTGACCATGTACGGACCCAGAGAGTCCCCTCGTAGCCCGCCGTTGACCATGTACGGACCCAGACAGTCCCCTCGTAGCCCGCCGTTGACCATGTACGGACCCAGACAGTCCCCTCGTAGAGTCCCCTCGTAGCCCGCCGTTGACCATGTACGGACCCAGACAGTCCCCTCGTAGCCCGCCGTTGACCATGTACGGACCCAGACAGTCCCCTCGTAGAGTCCCCTCGTAGCCCGCCGTCGACTCTGTACGGACCCAGCGTACGGCAGAGCTGTAGAAGCTGCATACCGCTTGTATTAGTAAGCTTGTCAAAGCTCTTTCTAGCAGGACATTCAGGGAGGGGGAAGCAGGTGCTTCCAGGTAAGTGTTTGTCTCCCTGGGTGTTCATAGTTGCAGCTCTTTCCCCTGTTCGAGCGTTCAAGTCCCCACAGATTAACACATTTCCCATGGTTTTATAATGGTTAACTTCCTCCTCAAGAATAGAGAAAGTATCTGGGTTGTAGTAGGGGGTTCTGATGGAGGTATGTAGATGGCACACATGTAGACGTGTTGCTCTGTTTGTTCATTTTCAACCATATATTAGCTTCTTCTTCTTTAATAACTGATGGACTGGCTCAGTTCTGATTTACACCATATAATCAGGCCTCCTGAATCTCTGCCTTGGGTTATTGTGGGATTTTTTGTTGATGGTATAATAATGTCAGTGTAGCCGTGAGGACGACCAGTGGAAACATCTTCTCTGCACCATGTCTCCTGTAAAACTATGATGTCAGAGTCTTTTAACTCTCTATTAAAATCTGGATTTATGCTCTTTAAACCAAAAGCTGATGATCTCAGACCTCGAATGTTCCAACATGTTATTGTGAACGATTTCATCTCCAAGTGTAATCTGTTCAAAAATTAGACCTTAAACACCTTAAAAAACAAATAATAGTAAACTAGATATTAAACAATACTAGTAACAAACGAAAAGGGGAACAAAAAGTGTAAAAAGAGAAATAATGTTGTAGGTAAATGAATAAAATATTAAACTTTGAGTGACATTTTTAGAGTGTTTCATGTGTGAAATACTGTTAAGAATTGTCCTTATATTGCTATTGGTTTAAAATGATATCCAACATGCCAAACTATGAATTATTGTGATGTCTCTAAGAGTCTCTGCTCTTCCACCATGTAGCCATGAGGCGAGAGCAGAGCAGGTTCTGCATGTGTGATATGTCTTTGAGTTCACCAGAGGGGGGCGGGGCTGTGGCTCTTCTCACCGCTGCAGCGTAGTCCAGTCCAATAGGCTGCTGATCCTGTAGTCTTGGTTCTGCCGTTGGGATGAGGGGGGGTACAGGACCTCCAGGCTGGGGGGCTCTCTGGCTGGGAATCAGGGGCCAGTGTTGTGTTGGCTGTGGGTTTGTGTGTCTCTCTCACACTCGCTCTCTCATGTTAAGTGTTTAGTGGAGCCAGGCTGTTTGTTGACATGTTAAAAAACACAGTGGTAAGAGAGTTTTGTAGTTTTACAGTTATCTATCTTTTGAAATGGTTGGTGCCATTTTTACATAAAAATATGACACTGGTCAAATCGGTGGTTAAAGTGGGATATTTCAAGAACAACTGTTGTTGAATGTAACGAGAATAACACCAAACTTCTATACAGACACTGATGCCGAGGTGCTTTATCTGTAGTATTGACACGCACACTGTTTGTATGTGTGGGTGCGTGCAGGAACATCGTCTCCACGGTGAACCTTGGCTGTCCGCTGGATCTGAAGTTTATTGCCCTCCAGGCAAGAAACGCAGAGTACAACCCGAAGGTACGTCGCCTCTCCGTCAGGTGATTACTGAGTGTTGCTGACCACAGATTCACCTGTGAGATAAAAACCATGCAGGAATGTCCAGATTATCTGCCAGGATGTAAACCTGAGGCACATCTGCCTCCACTCCGTGACGAGCTGGTCAGCACGGGGGTGCGTTTACCACAGGAAGTCATTCAGAGTGTCAGTATACTGCATTTCTACTGTACATTTCAGCCAATACTACTTCTTCTTGCATTTAACACATTTATACATCGTAGAAAAATATTTTTATTTTACATACATACATGGTGTGAAAAAGTGTTTGTCCCGTACTGATGTCTCTTGCATGTTTGGGATTTGTTGAGTTGTGTTAATAGTTGCGATCAGGACATTGTGAAATCCTGGAGCGACTGTAAGGCTACAACCACTCTACTACACTGGTTTTTAAACAGAAACAATCTCCGTCCTCACCAGCGTTTTAGCTGCATATCAGAACTGATCTGTCTGTATTTAAACGGCTGAAAACGCACATCATGTGACCGTTCACGTTTGATCAAGATTCGTCTAAAGAAGAAAGTTCTACTAGAGACGAACGAGGAACAGCGATGGTGAAGAACCACAGCAGAGATTTCTCTGCATGGACCACAGGAGGACAAAGAGACCGTGGCGGCGGGAAACGTAGAAGGTCTGCGGTTTAAAATCAAAGTAGGAGGGTAGATGGACCCCAACGTAGGCTCGCCACCCGTCCCTTAAAATGCAGAATCATCCCGTATTTGAGAACTAAATAGTATATAATAGTTTTCTGTCTTTAATGCAGCATCCCATGCAAACTATCCCACGCATTCTGTAAACTCCTCTTCTACCCCTGATTGGGTAAAACTCGCTGCCATTGATGGTTTGATTAACACTGTCAGGTTCGGGGCCAATCGGAGTCAGGTAAGGTCTCTTGGCAGGAAGTCGAGTTGAAATAACGGCGGCAGCAGCTCCAAAGTCAACAAAACAGGCTTATGCCTTTCTTTTCTTAATGTTTAATTCTTGATCAGTTAGAGTCTGGAGGGTAAATATATGTTCAGACAGTCTGACCGCTAGTCTGCTGAGTTCATCTGTTCACACTGACTTCAACAGCAGATGGCTCATTATGACGTCGGCTGGTATCAATCTTAATACTTCAACATGTTTTAAGTTATGATAAACAACCATAAGGCCTGCCGTTGCTGGGCCCCCGAGGGGTGGGGCCCCCGCTCAGGCAGGCGTCCCTTATTTTCCTGTATTGAAGGTGGCGACCCTACCTGTACGTGACCAGTTTCCCCGCATAGTCTTTCTGATTCTGTGACTTCAGCAAACGCTGTACAAATAAGAAAGCTGCACTTCAGCAAACGCTTTCCGTGACGTCGTGGCGAGCAGCACTTTGTTTTAGTTTGTCTGTAGCTCGCATCTTCCCGACCGTCCACACTGTCCCGTTTTCACTACAGGGTTCCAAATCAAATGATTTGAAACAGTGAACCACTTTCGAAACAGCACTGCTAAACCGCTAACGCGCTCACAGACTTTGAGTTAACTCAGCGGATTCTGTCAAGGTTTATATTATATACATGAGGCTTAGCGTTAGCTTAGCATTAGCTCTAGTCCGCACAGATGGAACGTCTCAGAAGCTACTGGTGGGGTTCAGTTCTTGTGTTGTGTTTCAGCGTTTTGCGGCGGTCATCATGAGGATCCGCGAGCCGAGAACCACCGCGCTGATCTTCAGCTCGGGGAAGATGGTCTGCACAGGAGCCAAGAGGTCAGTCTACCTGTCTCACCTGTCTGTCTCAGGTTACAGGTACGATCAGGACTTACAGGACAGTTTATTAACCAGCTTCTCTCACGTGTCTGAGCACGTGCAGCGAGGAGCAGTCGCGACTGGCGGCCAGGAAGTACGCTCGGGTGGTGCAGAAACTGGGTTTCCCCGCCCGCTTCCTGGACTTTAAGATCCAGAACATGGTGGCCAGCTGCGACGTGTGCTTCCCCATCAGACTGGAAGGTCTGGTCCTGACACACCAACAGTTCAGCAGGTAGAAACACTGACGATCGGTGAGGGCATGAGGTTAGCTTAGCTTAGCACAAAGACTAAGGCCTAAAAATGCACCTTCCAACAACTGCAAAGCTGTGCTCAGCGGATTCACTGAGGGGTGCAGAACCTCTGAGTGCTTCATGTTCTGTTCAGCCGGTGACGCTGACCAATAGAAAGCCTTGTAGCAAACCCCCGACGTCCTGCCAGAGCCGACCTTTGAGTCCAACGTGGAGGAAGCTACTGTTGTTCGCTGCGTCACCATTTAATCTGATTTAAGCTCCAGTCAGAGTCGCTGTTTTACATGCGTTTTCCCCACCAGATTTTAGGTTAACTCACTTGATGCTAATTTGGAGTTAAATGAGAGCTGTCGGGGGGGAAAAACCTGCGTTTGCACACAATTGACCCTTCGCTAAGCCACGCCCGAATACGCAGCTGGCCAATCGCAGCGCAGTATAGGACTCTTTCATGGCTCCATTGACTCTAATGCAGAAAGAGTCGTTTTCTAGCTTCCTTCTGGCTGTATTTTCTAAGATCTGGTCAAACGCTGTTCCTGCAGCGTCTTGTAATAGAAAGGAGAAGGACGATTTATTCTCTCTCCAAAACCTGAAACAAATCCAGAAAAATGTCAGCCGTGGATCATTCCTAATGTGATGTTAGTTAGCTAACGCTGGCTAACTTCCTGCTTAATGTAACGTAATAAAGTCCTGCTGTTCTGCTTTTTAATGACTGTAATAATGAACAGGCCGACCAGCTGTACAGGAACACTGCTGATCCTTAATGTCGTTGTCCTCTTTCTCAATCGTCAGATAATAAAGTGGTTCACTTTAGCTTCTGTCTTTATTTTTTCACGTCAGGCTGACAGCCTGAATAAAACCTTCAAATGTACAATGTCAAACTGTCTGCTTCTTTCTGAGATCGCTTTGTCCAACAGCATTTCTCCAGCGAGTGCAGTAATAGGAGGCGCCGTGATAAAAGTCCGACAGTTTGTTGGCAACTTTAACTAAGGGGGGCGTGGCTAAGCAAAGGGTCAGTTAGGAGCTGGAAGACTTCACAAAGTCAGATGTGCAGTAATGATCCTAACCTTGAGCATTTCTTTTAATTTAGCCGGGCTAGCAGTTCTCCCCTGTTACCAGTCTTTGTGCTAAGCTAGGCTAATCACGGTCCAGGAATCCCCAAAATGCCAGCGTTCCTTTCAGTCATGACATTTTATTTTTTTCCTTCATCCGCGTCACATGCTAACAATGGCATCTCAAATGTTCCCATTAGCTTAGCGTTAGCTTCTTGTTTTGTTAGCGTAGCATTTGAATTGAGTTTCTTTTTCACCTGAAACTAGTGAACAAGACAGAGTTTAACATAAAAGTTCAGTCGCTGGGAAGCCTTCAGATGAACATCTTTTAAATCTTTTTAAAGGATTGTAAAACATTTAAACGTTGATAAAAGGTTTTCTGTGTTTTCGTGTCCAGTTATGAGCCGGAGCTGTTTCCTGGCCTCATCTACCGCATGGTGAAGCCTCGCATCGTCCTGCTCATCTTCGTGTCGGGGAAAGTGGTTCTGACCGGTAATGAAACTCAAATGTCCCACCGTGCTTAAACAGTGAAGTAGCAGCAGACACTAGTGAACAGCTGCACGTTGGAAGAGCATCGTTCGATCAGTTGTGACTCTGTCGGGAGAGCCGGGACGACCGAAACACTTTTCTGATGAACGTCCCTTTAAAAGCAGCTGTGACGTGTGTTTGATCAACACCCGGTGCTGCTGATTCTTCAGTCCCGACCGCTTTTATTTAAAAAGTCAAACAAAACATGACGAACATATTGTGCCCGTTATCTTATTAAAAACCTGTTCATTTTTAGAACACGGGGCCTAACGTTCAGTGCACTTCTGGATTTTTACGTAGATCAGCCTGAAGCCGGGTGTTGCGAGTCGCCAACAGTCGGGCTGTGATGGATACTAACGGAACATTTGTCCTCGATTACGATGTTGTTTTGACCTCCATCGTTCACCGAAGAGGTTCTGATTTTCAGTTTCAATTACTTTTCAATAAATCGTGTTGGACAGATGCAAAATATCTGGAGCCGTCGGCCGACTTGACATCCACATCTGACTAAGAGCAGGCAGCTACTTTTTCACCACTAGACTGCGCTGCGGGAGAAGCAGATAAAGAAAACAAGACAAGCGATCAAACGCCACAGCGAAGAGGAGAGCTGCTCACTGCATGCTGGGTAGTGTCTGAGGAACGTTCATAAAGTCACAGCGCGGTCTCTTGGCCCCGCGGGGCCGCTCTGCGCTCCTCAGGTGATCAGATACGGCGCGGCTCTATGGACAGTAACCATGGCAGCGGCTTGTGCGCGCTACACAGCTGCAGCCTGTTTAACTTGAGTTAAATTACAGGCTGCGTAACTTCAGCTGAGAGGCTGAATTCCCTCCTGCTGATTCTGGAAACTCCCAAACAGCGAGGATCAGTTCGGCGGCGGGCGTGTGCATGAGGCGAGCGCTTCCCCTCCCTCTGACTGCTGAACACAGACTGTAATTAGAAATATTTTCTAGCTGCTGTGTGAAGGGAAAAATCTGTTTAAAGCAAACCACACGTTACTGCACTTTAGTGCATACAGCAGTACACTTTAGGAAGCACTACTTTAGGATAGGCCTCCAGCTAACTGTAGCTCAGACGTTTCCTGCTGTCTGCGTCTGCTGATCCGTCCTTTCACCCAGATTCTTTGTCTTTAGAATAACAAACAGCTGTTTCCTGTGCAGGATCGCTCATTTCACCTGTGTTTTCTTGACCAAACGTGGTTTGGAGACCAGCGTCAGGTGACTCAGCCGCTGTCAGCTCGTGGAGCGTGTGACCTCCTGTCACCGGTCAGTCACGCTGTGTGAACGCCATGACGTTAGGAGCTTCCTGTGTGAAGAAATGGAGAAATGCGCTGGTATAAGGACACAATTAGAAATCTCAGCTCATCTTTTGAAACAGACGGCCGCTGTAGCAGAGCAGGTGCTGCAGTAACGCCTTCTTTATAACAACACGGTGGCAACGATCTGCATCTGTTCAGTCCTCTCAGAGTCACGTACAGCGAGACGCAGCGACGGGAGAGCACAGCTAACCAGATATATCAGAACGTGAACTTTGGCTCGGACCTCTGTGCGGACTTTCAGGTGTGGAAGGACCCTGCGTCATCCTTGACTTCCTGCTTCCAATCATATTAAGTGATTTACAGTTAAAAATAACTGAATCATCAAAGACGAGGTCGAGCGATCACTTCCCGTCTCACAGACGTCCGAGTCCACCTGATTGTTCTGGCGATTATATGCTACCTTTATGTTCCCTTTTCCACTCTCGCAGGATTAGTCTTCTGTTTTTTTGATTGATCATTTCAGGGGCAGCGTCTTCAGAATCATTTTACATTGCACCGCTGCTCGCTGCATGTGCACTGTAAGGAGGGGGGAGCTTATTTCAGATATCAGCGTATAATGATTTGTTGTTGATATTGCTGGCGATCAGCCGCTGTCTCGACGGCGTGCCCAGGTTGCGCAGACGTATGGCCGTGGAACGGACCGCGCTTGTGGGTCACGCGCATGCGCAGAACCGCTAAGTAGCACATCTCGATAGAGCGCGTGAATGGACAGAACACCGGCTCTGAGAAAGTTGTTTCATTGGTTGCGGCTCTCCCCGACATCATTACGAGTTGCCGTGATCAACATTGAACATCGGTGCTCTCTGCGGTAACGAGTTAACTGCGAGACAAAGATCTTATGATGAAAATGAAACAGACGTGTTGTTGTAAGATGGCCAGATCAGCTGCTGTCATCTCCTCACACCCTTTTAGAAATGACTTGTTTTCATTTTGTAGTCGTGTGTTTAAATTCCAGGAGCTAAAGAACGAGCTGAGATCTACGACGCGTTTGAGAACATTTATCCGATCCTGAGAGGCTTCAGGAAACAGTGAGGCCCCGCCCCCTCTGACGCCACTTCCTGTTCATTTGTAAATGCATATTTACTCTCTGGATATCAGTTTGTTTGTGTTGTGGATGGTGAAGGAGTCGCTTTCTGTTTGAGTCTCTGTTGAATGTTTCGCCATCCTGAAAGAAAATAAATAACAGTTTTCCAAAAAGATTTTCTGTTTTATTTCGACTCTGATCAGAAACTCCCTTTACGATCGATGAGCTCTGTTCATCCAGTCTGGTTCCCCGCTTGGTGTGGATCTTTTGAACAGGTGCAAGAACAGCAGTCCGTACAGTTATTTTTATTAGGGGCCGAGACATCTAGCATAGATAAAGTGAAAACAGCAGTCCAGCGTTTGCACCACAGTGTTTTAGCGGCTGCTAATTTATTTATTTTTTAACACCCGTCCCTAGAAGGGCTTTTAAAGAAACATTAATACGATGCATTACAGTAGAACTCGAGATGAAAGGAGGTAAAATGAGTAAATCAAAATGAATGATGAGAAACATGCAATGCTAACTACAGTAGACTGGATGTTAGTGAACCAACCAGGCCTCTTTTGAAGTGTTTAGGTAGCACGTTTCACAGAAAACTTTAGTCGCCACTTGAAGCGGCTCTGGTGGATCATCTGCTGCTTTGTGGGGTCAGCAGATCTTTAATCCCTGTGAGCCGAGCCCGAGTGAGACGGGGTCAGACATGTGATATGTAATGAACGAAAGAGACGCGACTGCTCGGTGAGAGCTACGCTGAGCAGGACGCAGCGAGGATGTCTGATGGAATCTGCTCACACTTCATACCTGATCCGCCTCTTTCGTGTGAACGCGCTCACGGCGGGATGGGAAACCCTGGGTTGACCAACAGAGTTGATGACCGGCTTGGTGAGACAGTTTATCCTGAGTGGAGAAAGATTCGGGCTTGGTGGTTCGGGCCCCCGGCGGGCTTGGTGGTTCGGGCCCCCGGCGGGCTTGGTGGTTCGGGCCCCCGGCGGGCTTGGTGGTTCGGGCCCCCGGCGGGCTTGGAGGTTCGGGCCCCCGGCGGGCTTGGTGGTTCGGGCTTGGTGGTTCGGGCTTGGTGGTTCGGGCCCCCGGCGGGCTTGGAGGTTCGGGCTTGGAGGTTCGGGCCCCCGGCGGGCTTGGTGGTTCGGGCTTGGTGGTTCGGGCCCCCGGCGGGCTTGGAGGTTCGGGCTTGGAGGTTCGGGCCCCCGGCGGGCTTGGAGGTTCGGGCTTGGAGGTTCGGGCTTGGAGGTTCGGGCCCCCGGCGGGCTTGGAGGTTCGGGCCCCCGGCGGGCTTGGTGGTTCGGGCCCTGGGAGTCTGTGTGCTTGTTGCTTGCGTTGGATGAACTGGGGAGAGTTCAATCTCCAAACGTTCAGACCGGTTTGCAACATTTTCGGGTTGAACGACATGTTTCTGAATGTTTCCACAAGGGGCCCTGAGGAATGTGTTCTTCTGTTTGGTGGGCGTGTCTCCGGTGTTACCCAATCAGCTGCCACGAGTCTGTAAACACAACGCTGTTAGGAAGGCAGGGAAATGCAGTGTTTTGTCTGCGCTGAACTCTGCAGCCTGTTGGAACGTGAACGAAGCTCCGCCCGCCGCGTTACGTCATTATATAAACAAACCGTGGCTACGCCGTCACGTGTTCAGAGGAAACCGGAAGTGGCGGACTCATCTTCTTGCTCTCCAAAACAAAAACACCTCTGAGCCTGTTGTCGTTTTACAGCCGTGACAGGAGCATCACGGGAGAATAAGGAGCCAGAGGGGAAACATGAAGTAGCGGAGTTAGCTTCACAGTTAGCATTAGCGTCAGATTAGCTGGTTAGCTTCGTTAGCTCCTAGCTCCCCGCTCCATGGCGTCCTCCTCCTCAGCGGGACTCCCACCGCGGGGACCGGACCGCGCTGCTGCTTCGGCCTCCGGGGGGAGGCCGCCAGTCCGGCCCCACCACCCCCACCCGGCTCACTCCGCCCCGGGCTGTGTGATGGCGGAGTCGGTGGACGACGCGGAGGGTCTGTACGTGGCGGTGGAGCGGTGCCCGCTGTGCAGCACCTCCCGCCGCAGGCTCACCTGCGCCCGCTGCGTCCAGGCCGGAGACTTCGTGTACTTCGACGGGAGGAACGCTGAAAGGTAAAGTCCAGAGCTTCGAGATGCCGAACTCCATTAACAGACCTCCAAACGCATGAGGATAAATAAACTGTGGGGATAAAAACACGAACTCTCGGGACAGTTCGGCTGTGATTTCAGTAGAACACGTTAATTCAGACACGTCTTAAACGCCCTATCTGTTCACATCTTCTGCAATATGAACCTGTTTTTCTTCTTCACGTTAAGAAGGGGGAAAGTTAAAGGAAACTCGGGTCCAGATCAAAAACCACTACACCTAGACCTGTCAAATCTGGACTAGATCATTCTAGAGAGGCTAAAGATTCTTTAAGACACCGTTTCAGGTTTGTGAAACATTTATTCTATTGGTGAAAATGCAAAAAAGGGCTTTGGGTGGTCTACATGTAAAACTGATAGATCTCCCTTTTTTCATTTTCACAAATAGAATAAATGTTTCACAAACCTGAAACGGTGTCTTAAAGAAACTTCAGCCTCTCAAAGCCTCTCTGGGTCTAGTCCAGATTTGACAGCTGCACGTATAGTGGTTTTTGATCTGGACCTGGTCTAATGTGGTCTACATGTGAAAAATCCAAAAATATAAATGGCCCTTTTTTGCATTTTCACAAACACAATAAATGTTTCACAAATCTGAAACCTTCAGCCTGTCTGGGTCTAGTCCAGATCTGAGAGCAGTGGTTTTGATCTGGACCCGTTAACTGCTGAATCAGGCGCTACCTTCTCTCCGCACATCGAGCTGCAAGTTATGTTTTAATGTCAGCGCAGCCATGACCTCGCCGAGGCTAGTTAGCATTAGCAGAAGCTGTTTGGGATGTGTAACGTGGTGTTCGCTTGCTGTTAGCTGCCCTGCTACGGTTACACAACATGTGAAAACCCAAAATAACTTTGACCTCATAGTTTTCATATCAGAGGGAAGTTTCCCAAACTGGGTTGTGGGGACCACCAGGGGTCTCTGAGGTGCGTCCAGGGGCCCTCAACAACAGAACAAGGACCTTTTAAAGCACCTTCTCACCTGCTCTGTAAAGGTTTATTCCGGTTTAGTTACGGTTTAGTTTGTGTTCTTCAGATACGTAGAAAAGTTGGAGCGGCTGAAGACGCTGAAGGAAGAAAAGGAGCAGCTGCAGCAGAGGTAAGACTTTATAATCTGATGAAGACGGGATTAAAGCATGTGTTAATGTGAGCCACGCAGCGCTGCAGCCGTTCATATCACCATCAAACCCTCTCTCCTCAGAGTCACGCAGGCCATGGACAGGAAGCTGCAGGCCGACGAGGTGGTGAGTAAAAGCCTGCGACCTTTGACCTCTGTGGAAGCAAAGAAAGGCTAAATAATAGTTTACATTTTATAAGCAACTGAATACCTGAATGTGAGATTTAAACACTGATATTTTACTTCACTGGTTTGACTTCTACTCTTTGTAATTTCCAGAAGGTCACTGTTAAGTTTTGCCGTTATTTGTTTTCTTCAGGTTCATAAATTCAGAAAGAAATCTCAGCAGGTCTCCAGTCGCTCACCTGAACTTTTGTCTTTTAATCGTGTGACTGACTGACAGGTAACGGCAGACCGGCCTCAGGTTTTCATCTGAGTCCTGGTGTCTGAGGTAACTTTGGAGCGAGCACGCTGCAGTCTGCAGTGGGGCTGAACGATTTTCGCAAAATAATTTAAAATTTTTTTAAAAGAATTTTTAAGCTCTCTACCTGACACATGATGATGCAGGAATTATTATTCAGAGAAGAAATATCAAATTTTAATAATATGAGCACGATAATTTGAGTCATGGCATTAAATAATGATAGAATATCAGGTCAGACCACAAGAAAAACCAAGTTCACTGCAAAAACCCTCAGTTCAACCAGCAATTAATGCGTCCTGATCTCAGGTCAGATCTCCAGGAGTCCATCTTTCTGTGTCCCAGTGAGCAAACAAAAAATACTCAGTCTGAGGTTCAGTTCAAAAGTTGGCCAACGAAAATAAAACCAAGAGACGCCTCTCGTGTTTAATATACAAGCTTGGTAAAAGTTTCTGCAGTGTCAGCGTCTGTCAAGCTGAAGGCCGCCGTACAACAACAGGTCAAGGTGCAGCGTAACGGGCGAAGTTGATGCTTCGTCTGCAGACCGCTTGACTCTTGGGCGTCGAAAATCTCGTTTTATCACATCACGATAATATCGAAAACGCAATTAACCGTTCAGCCCTAGTCTGCGGCGGAGAAACAGCTGCAGCGTGATCCTCGCTTCACAGGACGTCCACTAAAGAGCCGGCTTTGCCGCTGACAGACTGTAGTTAGATCCTTTTTGTTTAACCAGAAACAAACGAACCTCCATCAGTTAGTTAGTTAGTGTTCAAAGTCCCACAGTATCACGACGATGGGCTGGTTTTGTCAGCGGGGTCTGGTGGCTTTGAACACAGCGACACTGCGGCTGTCTCTGGTTAAACACAACCATTTCTCAACATGTGCAGCTAAAGGACGGACCGATTTCAAACCTCTCACATTCAGCCGGCTTTCAAAGTAAAATATTCTGTTTGGTGCTGTTTGGTTTCAGTTGGCTGGTGATTGTTAATATGATGAACATACTCGTGGCCTTTCTTTGCTTATGTCCACCTGTACACTCGCTCTGGCTGATCTATAACTGCTCAGACATGGAAGAGATTTCAGTTTTTGTCCAACGTGCTGCCTTTAATTAAAAGATTCAGCCTTTTTTATTGTGATGAAAGATTTTAGTTAAAAGCTGGTGGTGTATAAATGTTTTTAAAAAGATGTCCTGTCTCATGGTGCTTTGATCTCAAACTGCTGTTTCCTCTCAGAAGTGGAAGATCATGTCGTGTAAGATGAAGATCGAGCAGCTGAAGGAGGCGGTCGCCGGGAGCAACGAGGAGGTGACGAGCGGTGAGTGTCGTTCAGTCGCGCTCTGAATGAAAGATGAGCAGTTTAACATCTTCTCGCTGTGTTGTAGCCGACAGCGTGTCAATAAAGTTCTTCATGCATGTTAAGCCTCCAGTAATCGACACAGCTCGGGTACTTCGCCCTGATCTGTTTCTGCCTCCCTAAACGACACAAACGAACTTTGTCGCTCTTTGCACTCCGTCACCGGACTTCTTCTGCGACTTGAGGCGGAGGGGGGGATGGAGGGGGGGTCGTCCCATTTGAGTTTGCAGACTTGTTCCTTCTCCTCCTCCTGCTGCAGATAAGGACGTCCTCCTGCGCTCTCAGGAGGAGGGGCAGCGGCTGCAGCGCCGGGCCGGACGCCACCAGGAGAAACGGGACAAGATCGAGCGTCACAACCGGCGGCTGGGCGAGCTGCTGGAGAGACGCAGCCGCGAGCTGCAGAGCAGACTGGGCCAGCTGGCGGCTCTGAGGCGAGACCACATCCTGGAGCTGACCACCCACATCTTCCCCACGCAGGAGGAGAAGCAGGGCAGCAGGTGAGGGCGGACGAGGTCGCCGGAGCGCCGTCTTTTCTGCGCGGAGATAAATAAACCAGTTTGGTGAGGAGGATTTAACCTGTCCTCTGCCCCTGCGTTTGTCGCTCAGAGACCCCGCAGACGTGGTGGCGGAGTGCGACCCCGCGCTGACCTCCAGCACGGTGAGCGAGCTGGCCGAGGCTCGGAGGACCACCTACCTGTCGGGACGTTGGATCTGGGACGACCAGAACGGAGAGACCAGCATCAGCATCACCGGACCGCCCGTCACGCTGCCCAGCAACGGGGACTGCTCCGCCTACTACAGCTGGGTGGAGGAGAAGAGCACCAATCAGGGCCCAGGTGAGCAGCGGGGGGGGTTTTGGTCGTTTCCTCCATGAATCGATTGACTGCTTCACGTTATTAACGACTTCCTGTGTGTCTGCAGAGTTGGACCACATCAACCCGGCCCACACCATCAGCGCCGCGCTCTGCTACGCCACGCAGCTCGCCACCATCCTGTCTCACATCCTGGACGTCAACCTGCCCAAGAGGCTCTGCAACAGGTGGGACAGGAATCTCCCGCTGCCTACACTGGCAGGACAGCGTCGGGAAGACGGAGCGTCCGCTTCTTTTAATGTGTCGGAGTTTAACAGCCCTGTTTGTTCCCCTGTAGCGAGTTCTGCGGAGAGAACCTGAGCCGGTACCGCTTCACCAGAGCTCTGAGCAAACTCAACACCAACATCCTGCATCTCTGCTTCTCACAGGTCAGACAAACACCCGCACACAGGAACGAGACTCGGTGCTCAGCTGGGTTTTAGTTGAGGCCAGTAAAACTGAAGGACTGAAGAGTTTGTTGGGACAGTTACAGGTTCAGACGTCTGTCTGCAGGAACCTGAAAGTATCTTAAAGGCACTGAACACATTTAAGCTCTCGTCTGTTATTCCTGTTTTGCTGATGTTCCTCCCACTGGGGGGCGTGGCACTGTTTGAAAAGGTCATGTCAGTCAAGCAATGACGGTATAAAAGATGTAGCTGCAGGGACGTCCCCTGTTGGTTTGTGGACTCCCGTTTTAAAGCCTCCAGTTTGGCATTTTGGAGCTAGCTAGTTTGGTTAGCTGGGATGCTAATTTTAGCTAGCAAACAGGCTTAAAACTAAATGTACTTCCTCCCCCTGCTGGCTGCTGGAGAGGACGCAGGTTTAAGTCGCCCCCTGCTGGCTGTTAGAGAGGACGCAGGTTTAAGTCGCCCCCTGCTGGCTGCTAGAGAGGACGCAGGTTTAAGTCGCCCCCTGCTGGCTGTTAGAGAGGACGCAGGTTTAAGTCGCCCCCTGCTGGCTGTTAGAGAGGACGCAGGTTTAAGTCGCCCCCTGCTGGCTGTTAGAGAGGACGCAGGTTTAAGTCGCCCCCTGCTGGCTGCTGGAGAGGACGCAGGTTTAAGTCGCCCCCCTGCTGGCTGCTAGAGAGGACGCAGGTTTAAGTCGCCCCCTGCTGGCTGCTAGAGAGGACGCAGGTTTAAGTCGCCCCCTGCTGGCTGCTAGAGAGGACGCAGGTTTAAGTCGCCCCCTGCTGGCCGCTGGAGAGGACGCAGGTTTAAGTCGCCCCCTGCTGGCTGTTAGAGAGGACGCAGGTTTAAGTCGCCCCCTGCTGGCCGCTAGAGAGGACGCAGGTTTAAGTCGCCCCCTGCTGGCCGCTGGAGAGGACGCAGGTTTAAGTCGCCCCCTGCTGGCTGTTAGAGAGGACGCAGGTTTAAGTCGCCCCCTGCTGGCTGTTAGAGAGGACGCAGGTTTAAGTCGCCCCCTGCTGGCCGCTAGAGAGGACGCAGGTTTAAGTCGCCCCCTGCTGGCCGCTGGAGAGGACGCAGGTTTAAGTCGCCCCCTGCTGGCTGTTAGAGAGGACGCAGGTTTAAGTCGCCCCCTGCTGGCTGCTAGAGAGGACGCAGGTTTAAGGTTTCAGGCTCTTCAGACCTGGAGGTTCAGTCCTGATGAAGCTGATTATGTTTAATATACAACTTTAAATGATTTATTATTTAATTAGAAATAAGAGTTTGTGTGTGTGTGTGTGTGTGTGTGTGTGTGTGTGTGTGTGCGTGCAGCACGTCGACAGTGAGAAGCTCCACCCTCATCACACTCTGAGGAACATCATGTTTCTGGTTTCCCCCGACAACAACAACCTGGGCAGGTGAGATACTCCGGTCTGTCTGGAGCCAATCAGAGAGCTGTGAGGATGTTTGATTTCAACAAAAGTTCAGACATTTAACTGACGGTATTTTCTGACGTGTCCCTGTTGTCTCCGGTCTGGTTCTGTTGGGTTCGGTCCAGGACGGGTCCGTTTGAGGTGAGCGCCGACCTGGAGGAGTCAATGGAGTTTGTGGAGCCGGAGGCCGCGGGGCCGGCGGAGGAGAGCGGGGACGAGGCGGTGACGGACGAGGAGACGGACCTGGGGACGGACTGGGAGACGGTGCCTAGCCCACGATTCTGTGACATCCCATCACAGGTAAGAACACCTGGATCCGGACAGGTCTGCAGAGTCAGACCAGGTTTAGGAAGACGGTTCGGATACTGAGAGAGACGCAGAGGCTTGAACAAAGAGAACCAGGTCCTCATCAGGCTTCACAGAGAACATTTGGATCAGAAGCTTCAGATTAACACTTCTTCTTCTTCTTCTTCTCTTCCTCCAGCCCATGGATCTTTCCCAGAGTGCTTTGCAGGTTTCCCAGCCCTCCGCCAACACTGGAGGGATGATCTCGTCTGCCGCCGCCTCGGTCACCTCCTGGTTCAGAGCTTACACCGGCCAGCGCTGATCAGGACCGGACCGGTTCAGACCTGGACCCCTGCAGGACTGGGACTTTTGGTTTGGAGAAGGACCGGTCTGAGAGGTCAGAGGTCAGCAGCTCTGACCAGCCAATCAGACGACTGTACATTTTAAAATTTTCAGACAGGTGACTTGAACCTGTCTCACCTGCTGGAGACACAAACTGTCCACGGGCGCTGAGATCAGCGGGTCAGACCGCCAGAGCGGACTGAGACCCGCGGCCGGTCTCTCGTCCTCCAGTCGCTCAGATCAAAAACTCTGATCAGGATCATAGATCAGAATCAGGACCTTCAATATCTGGATCAGGTTCTTGTCGTTATGAGGTCAGACTCCACCCGTCTGTCTCTCTCTGTCTCTGTCTGTCTCTCCCTCCTCCGTCTGTCTCTCCCTCCTCTGTCTGTCTCTCTCTCTCTCTCTGTCTGTCTCTCCCTCCTCCACCCGTCTCTCTCTTTCTGTCTGTCTCTCTCTCTTTCTGTCTGTCTCTCTCTCTCTCTGTCTGTCTCTGTCTGTCTCTCCCTCCTCCGTCTGTCTGTCTGTCTCTCCCTCCTCCTCCTGTCTGTCTGTCTCTCCCTCCTCCTCCTGTCTGTCTGTCTCTCCCTCCTCCCGTCTGTCTGTCTCTCCCTCCTCCCTCCTCTGTCTGTCTGTCTGTCTCTCCCTCCTCCACCCATCTCTCTCCACCTGTCTGTCTCTCCCTCCTCTGTCTGTCTCTCCCTCCTCTGTCTGTCTGTCTGTCTCTCCCTCCTCCGTCTGTCTCTCTCTCCACCTGTCTGTCTGTCTCTCCCTCCTCCACCCATCTCTCTCCACCTGTCTGTCTGTCTCTCCCTCCTCCTGTCTGTCTGTCTCTCCCTCCTCCACCCATCTCTCTCCTCCTGTCTGTCTGTCTCTCCCTCCTCCTGTCTGTCTCTCCCTCCTCCACCCATCTCTCTCCACCTGTCTGTCTCTCCCTCCTCCACCCATCTCTCTCCACCTGTCTGTCTCTCCCTCCTCCACCCATCTCTCTCCACCTGTCTGTCTCTCCCTCCTCTGTCTGTCTGTCTGTCTCTCCCTCCTCCACCCATCTCTCTCCACCTGTCTGTCTCTCCCTCCTCTGTCTGTCTGTCTGTCTCTCCCTCCTCCCTCCTCTGTCTGTCTGTCTCTCCCTCCTCCTGTCTGTCTGTCTGTCTCTCCCTCCTCCTGTCTGTCTCTCCCTCCTCCTGTCTGTCTCTCCCTGTCTGTCTCTCAGCACAAAGGGAACGTTTCTTTAGTTTTAAAGTGTTTTTATCGGCCTGTTTGGCGACAGCAGCGTCTCCATCAGACCTGAAACCGGAACGCCGTCGTGAGTTTACAGCAGCGTTGGCGAACTAACAGCGGTTGCCATGGTGTTAACGAGGCAGAATGACCCCGTTCGCACTGGACAACAAATCAGAACCCGGACTGGCTCAGCGTAATCATGAGGACGAGCGAGGGGCTGATGAATCATGTGACCTGTGAGCAGGTGAGCGTCTGCTGACGGCGTGAAGACGAGGACTCTTCGTGGAATTTTCTCTTGTTGCCATGACAAAGTTTGATTTGAAATAAAATCCTGTTTCTGGTTTTGGACGCTGACGAGAGGAAATGTGTTCTTTTTTTTTTTTTTGTTGTGTGTTTGGTGTTTTTCTGGCTCTGTGATTGGTCACCAGCACAAATGACCCCTGAGAGGCTCTGTGAATCAGAATAAGTTAAATAAAGTTTCACAACAGCAGAAGAAGAACAGATATTTGATAATTAACTGTACACGTGGAAGCACTAACACTGTTAATACTTCACAGATGATTCCTCAGCTGTGTAACAAACACGGTGGTGACGACATTTCACCACAAAATGAAATAGAAACCTGAGTGTGATTCAGATTAAGCAACATTTCTGTGTTCAGCCCCTCTGAGCTCTTTGTGTGCTTCAGTGTGTGAGCTGCAGATTAGCGTGTTGGCTACGTTCGGTATGCACAAACTGAAGAAACGTTCACACAGCAGCAGCGAGGCGCCCGGCGTGTTCACACGAGACGCAGCTAGATATAAAATCCATCACAGACTTAATCAAAGAGAAGAAGAAGCAGCTCCGAGTAGTCCTGAAACCCGGACCATCAAACAGGATCCAAACCGGTTTACTCAAACCAGAATCTGTACATGTGTTACAGAGAGAGCGCCGCTGAGTTCAACATTCTTTAAACGTCTGACTGATCCAGATGAGCTTTAGGTTTTGTTCTGTGGTCTGATCGGTAAATGTGACAGCGTTTGTCCACCGGAGGGCGCTGCAGATCGCTGTTCTTTAGTAAACATGTTTGCAGTTCCTTTCAAACGTTTGTGTAAAATAGATCAGCTGTTATATCAACATCAACTCTCATATTAAATCTGTCAGAAGTGTAGTTCTGTTTATTGTTCTGAGCTTTTTGAAAAGAAATTGATTTTCTAATTTTGGCGCCAGAGGGAAGATCATGTTCACGTGTAAAGGGTTCATCCTCTGAGGAGCAGGACGGAGGTCAGGGCGTCATATTCTGACGTTTCGTGTCGTGAGACAACGTCCGCTCACAGGTGGCGTTTACACCCGGGGCGCTGCGACGCGTCCTCAGCACGTTGTATAAGCAGAACTTGTGAAAAATGTTCTGAAAAATTGCAAAATGTGGAAATGCTTTGAGAAAGGTTTAGTTGTTCAATAAGAAAACATGTAGAAGAAAAACAAAATGTGCATCGTCCAAAAAAAGTAACTTAAGCTAAAAAATTAAAACAAGCAACTGATTCTAAAATGGCCCAAAAACGTGCGTCGATCAAGAACTTCAACAAGACTCTGGACTCTGGTTTCTCTCTCTGTGAACGTGACAAACATGTTGAGTCGCTCTTCTTTCTAAAAGTTTGCAGCAGCGAAACAAACAAGCAGGTTAACGTCTGAAGGTGGAAGCGGTTGAACTTTGTTCCACTGACGTCACGTTTCTTGTGTGGACGTGATGTTTTCGTATTGTCGGCTCTGTAGCGCCGCTCCGCTCTTTTGATGCCTTATGCAATGTTTTTTCTGACCCACCATAATTTGTCATTTTCTTCTCTGACCTCACAGCTCCCCCGTTATATTTCCTAAAATCACACGCTGAACAAAGTTTTATCATCTACGTCCACAGCCGAGTTCATCGAAATGCAGCCGGGAGAGATAAAACACTTTGACCACGAGGTCCATTTAGTAGCTGTCCCGGATCTTTGCATCGTATCGCGTGATTTCTGCAGCTGATGCAGTTTTCTTAGTTGTCACAAACAGATTTCTTGTTCAAGTTAAAAAGTTCATTCTTGAAACACTCAAAACTAGACTGGATCTGAGCTCTGAGGTCCACTTACTGGCTTTTGGGCCTCGTCTCATGATCCCGACAGATTTGCAACGAGCGAGACAAAGACAGAGAGAGAGAGAGTGGACCTTTAGTTAAAACTAATTTGTCAGTGTACTATTTCCAACCAGAGTTTAGTTAGTCTTGTTTCTGTCCTGAAGGCAGCTAACCTTTCTGAGTGGACTCATTCATCCTAAATACTGAAGGCTTTCCTGCTTCCACAGAGATTAGTGTGTGTGTGTGTGTGTGTGTGTGTGTGTGTATTTAATCTGCTGGACTCTGTTCAGCAGCAGGTTTTGGTTTCAGGATGAGGTCTGCTGTTGTGTTTCTGCTGCTGCTCTTCTGGTTGTCTCCAGCCGTCGGCCAGGGACAGCCGGAGGACGACGTCAGGGCGGCGGCTGGCGACCCGCCGGAGCTCCCCGTCCTGTGGGACGAGCTGTGGGGCTTGAAGGAGCTGGTCCTGAGCCTGAAAGCGGGGGAGGTGGAACAGCGTCAGGCCCTGCGGAGCATGGAGAGCCGGCTGAGGGACGGGGAGGTGGAGGCCCAGCAGAGGAGACGCAGCCTGGACGGGCTGGAGGAGACGGCGGTCCGGCAGAGGGAGCAGCTGAGGGCCGCGGAGGTGAAGACTGAGGTCGACAGGAAGCTGCTGATGAGGCTGAACTCGGATCTGAGGAAGAAGGTGGAGGAGCTGCAGGAGCAGAGCAAAGGTAGGAGATGGAGGGGGATGGGTTTCTGTGGTGAGAGAACCGGAGGTGAGACGTAAAGTACGTTTTCTAAAACCACCTGATGACCTCCACCTGCATCTTCATTTGAGTCATTCTGTTCTGTTGACTTCCTGCTTTTATCTGACAACTTCAGATCCACATTTTACATTCATGAGATGAACATCGAACCTCAATATCTTCTGGTTTCTGTCTAACGTGCGTCTGTAGCACCGAGAATCAAAAACAGAATCTCACTGATTCCTTCTTTGATCTGATATTTCCAGATTTAAAGGTTCAGACTGTAGTTTGTTTAAAGTTCTTGTACTGAAAGCTTTTATAAACCATATTCATACACTGATCAAAATTACAAAGGCAACACTTTTGTTTTTGTCCCCATTCATCAAGAGCTGAACTCAAAGATCTAAGACTTTCTCTATGTACACAAAAGGCCTATTTCTTTCAAGAATTGTTCATAAATCTGTCAAAATCTGTTAGTGAGAACTTCTCTGCCCAGATAATCCATCCACCTCGCAGGTGTGGCATATCAAGATGCTGATCAAATGACAAAGTTATTATTGTAGGGGATTTTAATATTCATGTGGATGTTGAGAATGACAGCTTCAGTACTGCGTTTATCTCTCTGTTAGATTCCATTGGCTTCTCTCAGAGTGTTCATGAACCGACTCACTGTTTTAACCACACCCTCGACCTTGTTTTGGTGTATGGTATTGAAATTGAACATTTAGTGGTGTTCCCACAGAATCCCTCTTTGTCCGACCACTGTTTGATAACTTTTGAGTTTGTATTGCTGAACTACACGCCATTGGGCAAAAATTTCTATACAAGATGTCTGTCTGATAGTGCTGTAGCTAAATTTAAGGATGCGATTCCATCAGCTCTAAATTCCTTATCTAGTCACAAAGTAACGGAGGACTCCTATGCTAATTTCAGTCCCTCCCAAATCGATCATCTTGTTGATAGTGCTGCAGGCTCGCTGCGAATGACACTCGACTCTGTAGCCCCTCTAAAAGAGAAAATAATAAAACAAAGACGGTTAGCTCCATGGTATAATACTGAAACTCGCAAATTAAAGCAAATATCGCGGAAACTTGAGAGGAATTGGCGTTCCACCAAAGTGGAAAATTCTCGTTTAATTTGGCAAGATAGTCTTAAAACTTATAGGAAGGCCCTCCGTAATGCCAGAGCAGCGTACTACTCGTCATTAATAGAGGAAAATAGGAACAACGCCAGGTTTCTTTTCAGCACTGTAGCCAGGCTGACAGAGAGTCACAGCTCTATTGAGCCAAGTATTCCCATAGCTCTCAGTAGTTACGACTTCATGAGCTTCTTTAATGATAAAATTCTAGCTATTAGAGACAAAATTCACCAAGACCTGCCCTCAACTGGCACCAACTTATCTCTAAACTCAGGAACCTTAGAAACAGCTGTAGAACCAGATATATGTTTAGACTGTTTTGCTTCCCTCAATCTTTACCTACTAACTTCAATAATTTCTTCATCTAAACCATCAACCTGCCTCTTAGACCCCATCCCGACTAGGTTGCTTAAAGATGTTTTACCCTTAGTCAGCACCTCTATACTAGATATGATCAATCTATCTTTATCAACAGGCTATGTACCACAGTACTTTAAAGTAGCTGTAATTAAACCTCTTCTGAAAAAGCCCAAACTTGATCCGGATGTTTTAGCCAACTATAGACCTATATCTAACCTTCCATTTCTCTCTAAGGTTCTGGAGAAAGCAGTTGCTAAACAGCTGTGTGACTTTCTACAGAGCAATAGTTTATTTGAGGATTTTCAGTCAGGATTTAGAGCTCATCATAGCACAGAGACAGCACTGGTGAAAATTACTAACGACCTCCTTATTGCATCAGACAAAGGACTTGTCTCTGTACTGGTTTTATTAGATCTTAGTGCTGCATTTGATACCATTGACCATCAGATCCTATTGCAGAGACTGGAATATTTCATTGGCATTAAAGGAACCGCTCTAAGCTGGTTTAAGTCCTATTTATCAGATCGATTTCAGTTTGTACATGTTAACGATGAGTCCTCCATGCACGCCAAAGTTACTCATGGAGTTCCTCAAGGATCTGTCCTCGGACCAATCCTCTTCACTTTATATATGCTTCCTTTAGGCAATATTATCAGGAAACATTCCATAAGCTTTCATTGTTATGCAGATGATACTCAGTTATATCTATCGATCAAGCCAGATGAATCTCATCAGTTAGCTAAACTTCAAATGTGCCTTCAGGATGATAAACCTGGATGACCTGTAATTTTCTCATGTTAAACTCAGATAAAACTGAAGTTATTGCTCTGGGGCCTAAGCACCTCCGTGACGCATTATCTAAAGATATAGTTTCCCTGGATGGCATCACCTTGGCCTCCAGCACCACTGTGAGGAATCTTGGAGTTATCTTTGATCAGGACATGTCGTTTTAGTCTCACATTAAGCAAATTTCAAGGGCCGCCTTTTTTCACCTACGTAATATTGCGAAAATCAGGAACATCCTGTCTAAAAATGATGCAGAAAAACTAGTCCATGCATTTGTTACTTCTAGGCTGGATTACTGCAATTCCTTATTATCAGGCTGCTCGAAAAAGTCCGTTAAGACTCTTCAGCTGATCCAGAATGCTGCAGCACGTGTTCTGACAGGAACCAGGAAAAGAGATCACATTTCTCCTGTTTTAGCTTCTTTGCATTGGCTTCCAGTAAAATCCAGAATAGAATTTAAAATCATTCTTCTTACCTACAAAGCTCTTAATGGTCAGGCACCATCTTATCTTAAAGAGCTCATAGTACTATTACTACCCCACCAGAGCACTGCGCTCCCAGAATGCAGGGTTACTTGTGGTTCCTAGAGTCTCCAAAAGTAGACTAGGAGCCAGAGCGTTCAGCTATCAAGCTCCTCTCCTGTGGAACCAGGTTCCAGTTTGGGTTCAGGAGGCAGACACCATCTCCACATTTAAGAGTAGGCTTAAGACTTTCCTCTTTGATAAAGCTTATAGTTAGGGCTGGCTCAGGTGAGTCCTGAACCATCCCTTAGTTATGCTGCTATAGGCCTAGACTGCCGGGGGATTTCCCATGATGCACTGAGCTCCTCTCTCCTCTACTTTCTCTCCCTCTGTATGCAACCTCATCCCATTATTGCATGTTACTAACACAACTTCTCCCCTTTCTGGTAGTCTTGTGCTTTCTCGTCCCTCTCCTCTCTCCTCCTGTCACTTCCTGCAGGTGTTTCTGGCTCTGGAGCTGTGGAGTCTGGATCTGTGGTTGCGGGTCACCTGCTGCCCCCGTGTTCCTGCTCGACACCCTCTGCTGCAACGACTATTGTTACTAGTCCTATTATTATTATTGTTATTATAATCATTAACATTACGACTGTTATCATTAACACTACTATAAATATCTGTACCATTTTTCATTTAGTTTATAGCAACATCACCTTCACTGTCTGTACCTCTGTGTGTGTATTGTGTAGGCTGCCTCCCTCCCCTCTCTCTCTCTCGCTCTCTCTCTCTCTCTCTCTCTCTCTCTCACCCCAACCGGTGGAGGCAGATGGCCGCCCACCCTGAGTCATGGTTCTGCTCGAGGTTTCTGCCTCTTAAAGGAAGTTTTTCCTTGCCTCTGTCTCCTAGTGCTGCTCTTGGTGGGAACTGTTGGGCTTCTGTAAATATCATCACAGAGTTCGGTCTAGACCTGCTCTTTTATGAAAAGCGCTGTGAGATAACTGTTGTTGTGATTTGGCGCTATATAAATAAAATTGAATTGAATTGATCAGACAGCATGGGGATTGCACAGGTAGGCCTTAGGCGGGCCACAATAAAAGGCCACTCCAAAACACAGACAGTTGGTTAGATCACTGACACAGATTTGGTAAAAACCACAAACCAAGTCTGAACTCTTGGAATGTGAATTAGTCATTTCCATCAACTGGTGAGACCTTTTCTAATGTGATGCTTTAAAGCAGATTAAACACGACTACTAACAAAGCGGATCTCATCAGTCCGCTCTGTCAGAGTACTAGTTTTAAAATATTAGTTGGTTTATAAAGCACTGAACGGTTTAGGGCTAAAATACATTTCTGATCTTCTGCTTCGTTCCGAACCATCCAGACCTCTCAGGTGGTCTGGGACCAGGTCTGCTTTCTGTCCCGGGAGTCAAAACTAAACCTGGAGAAGCAGCGTTCAGTTTTTATGGAACAAAGTCCCAGAAACCACCAGAAACTGAGACTTTTCTTTGTGCCTTTTATTGAATCTAATGTGAGACTTTTATCTCACACTGCTCTGTGACTCTCCTGCTTTATCCTGTTTTTATTTTCTCTGTAACATTTTTTTAATTGTATTTAAATGTCCTTCATCCTGAGGGGGACATGAAGGTCTGGATGTCTGGTGCGTTTCTGTTCTTTCAGCTCGAGCGGTCGAATTTTCGGCTGAAGTGTCGACGCTTCGGTTCAGACTGAACGCCAGCGAGAGCTCAGTGGACGACCTGAAGAAGAAGAGCTCAGGTGAGCCACGAAAGACAAAATGTCAGAGGCTTCAGCTGGTTCACGTGAATTTCCCCTCGTGGATAATAATTAAGTTCACCTGTTCTCACCTGTGATCACGCTTCCCTTCTCTCATTCAGAGTTCTGTTCAGTCAGATGTGGTGTGTTTCTCTGGTCGCTGTTGTAACCCTGTGCCCATAGGTGTCATTTACACTGGGGACTCTGGGAACACTGGGGGACGCTGTGGACGCTGTGGACATGTCCCCATCACTTTTTGAAAGCATAATTTGTTAAAAAATAGCAACAAGAAATTTTAACTACCAAATGAAAATGCTTTGAGAAAGGTTTATTTGCACAATAAGAAAACATGCAATTTAAACATAGAAGAAATAAATGTGTGTTGTCCAAACGCAGCACCTTAAGCTAAAAACACAAGCTGCTGATTACTGCATTATATTCTGTTATATTTTTATTCTTTGAACTGTCACTTTTCCCTCTGCAGAAATGTCTCCAGAATGCAGGAAATGAACTGTTTAACGCTCCTCTGGTTCTCGTGTCCACAATATTGTGCATCGTCACGTCCCCGGAGGTAAAGGTGCCCTCGTGTCCCCGCCGCTTTTTAACCCTGCGCTGGTGTCTCCACAGCTCTGGCGGCGGAGCTGCCGTTCCTGCAGACGAGACTGAGGGCGAGTGAGAGCACAGTGGAGCAGCTGAGGAGGAAGAGCGCAGGTCATCATCATCATCACATTTAACAGCCACTCTCTGTCTGTCTGGTCACATGATAGTGAGAGTAAGCAGCGCCTCCTGCGGCCTGTGGTGTTTTGTTTTCTGTCATATCTGTAACGTTACAGTGTCGGGTGATCACGTTAAACGTGGACAAAGCTTCAGATAATGAGGTAACTGTATTTAAATGAAAACCCTGTGAGCCAAAACCTCAGATTTCCCACGGTTCATGAACGCTTCAGTTTTCTCTACATCGGGGGTATTCAGTTAGAATTCAGAGGTCCAGTTAGAGAAAATTCTCCGAAGCAAAGGTCTGAAACATCATAACGACTAACTTGTTATCATTCAGTGCCATAACGTATAGTTTATAGTATCAACATGTTTTTAGTCAACAACTGACAATGTTTCAACAATATTCTGTTTTCACATCAAACTGGAGGGATAATAAATAATAACTACTCTAATAATAAACTCTAAACTTCGAAATTTAAGTAAACTAAAATAAAGTGGTTAATTTCAGTAAAAATGAAATAAAAAGTGTAGCTTGAAGTGATGAAGTTCAGTCTTAACACTCAACACATCTTAGCAAATGAACAGCTGTAACGCCTCCTCTTCTCTTTCATTCCCTCTTACAGAGCTACCACTTTCCTACTTTCTCTCGTTTGGTGAGAAACGTGAGCTCTAGTTTGTCCTGCCAGCTGGACTGGAGCTCTGAGAGATTCTGGTTCTGAACTGGTGTGGGAGGAATGTAGGTGTGGTGTCCGAACAATAATGCTGCGATGATGTGTTGAGAAGAAATCCCCTTGACACTGTTCTTGATCATAAAAGTTTATTACATCAAGAAGTTCAGCATCAATTACGTAACCACTGACGTCTGCTCTCCCCTTAAAGGTCACTAATCCTCTATCCAGCTGCTAGAGTGTTATTTTAAACTGTAATGGTCAAATGCACATATGTTATACACCACATAGGCTACATGTAGAATCTGTACAATCTTGATTAAAAAAGCCATGTGAAATCTCTTTTTTCTTTCGCCTCCTCTCTCCGTGCACGTTTCCAAAACTTCACTACACAGTCTCCGGTGTATCTCACTCGCGTGCTCGAATCGCAGTGCTCGGAATGCACAGATTTGATTGGCTGAGCAGCGTCACACGAGACGATTGGAGCACATGCGATTGGTCTGTGAGTTTCCTGGCCCGCTAAACCAGGACAGCAAATGCTAGAAAAGCTGCGCGGGTTAAAAAAAGAAACTCTCCGCCGCCTCCGGGGCTGTAGGTCGGGAGTCCGGATCAGGACCGCAGTCCGCCTATTAGTGACCTCTGCGCTACATCGTACAGATATATATGGTCAGTGTAGCCTCATCTGCCTGGAAACCGCTCAGCGCAGTCTGTTGAAGATGAAGTTAGTCAAAATTTGGTTTTCCCAAAGAAGAAAGCGCCAAACAAGACTATTTACGGTCCCTTTTCTTTTTTACAAGACAAAGTTTTGTGGATGAAAATGATTTGCGAGTCGAAGTTTTACGAGTGCAAAACTTTGTGACTTGCAAAAAACTTGCGAGTGAAAAAGTCCATCGTTCTTTTGTCATTACATCTTTGATCGTTTATCTTATCCATTTATTTTTTGTTCGTTCATGTAGAGTACTCAGCGTTTGTGAATGAGTAAATGAATGAATGCATGTTTATATTAAACAACTCCGACTCTTAATCACTGTTGTTGTTGACGTTTTTAGAAACTGACAGAATCCAGGAGAAGTTTGGTTTAGTCTGTTTTATTTTATTATTACATAAATATTAAATGATAATTTATATTTGATTGATTTCCCTTTTTTGAGCCAACAACAGCCGGGTAAAAGACGCTTCAGGGTCTTGGCCAATCAGAAGACAGTGGGTTTTTAAGGCGGGGGTCCCCTTCAACAGACAGGAGCATCTACAGCTTGTTTCAGACAGAGGCTGAAATGAGGGCCTGCATGAAGTATAGGAGAAAGGATTAATTTTTTTGACTTTGAATAATGCAAAAATTACAATCCAGCGGTCACAGACCTACAGAACAGGAGTGCAGTCTGAAAGGTTTCCTCTGACACGTAGTAACGGCGTTTCCATGAAGAACAAGATTTAAAGATGCGTTCCTGCAGCAGAGTTCTGTCTGGTTTAAAGTTTGAGGAGGTCGTGCAGATGTTAACATCTGGTCCTGATGTGTTTCAGTCCTGGCGGTCAGACTGTGTCACGCTGAGCGCCTGATGGAGGAGCTGATGAAGCAGACCTCAGGTCAGATTCAGGATAAATAACAGGAGTTATCAATAAACACAGAACAGCTTAATCAAACGTTTGAATGTTCAACACACCTTTAACCCTTTATTTCCCAGAATTCCCGGCCTCCAACAGATCATCCGAGTCTGAGCTGGAGAGTCGCCTGAACGCCCGTCTGGAGGACCTGAACACAAGCACACTGGGTGACTGAACTGATCGATCAGAAATCAGCGGTCCTCAGTCTTCCCTGTGTGGGAGGAATGTTTCTGATTCTGAACTCGATGCTGCCGATATAATCCCTCGCCCTCGTGGTATTTTTAAGGGAGTAGCATGTAGCTGCAGTACCGAAGGCTGCAGTTTCAGGACTGGAACTGCATTTCTAGGACCCGTGTTTACTTTGATACCAGCTAGCTATGTTACTCTTTACAGCCCCCTGAAGCCAGTTACTGTCACCACAACCTCCACCGAGTGTGTGCCTAAACTTAAGTTATTGATTATATGCATGTCGGCCGGTTAACCCTACAGCTGCTAGCACACAGGAGTAACCTCCTTCGTGTTGCTGTGCATTAGCACCACCACTTCACTAGATGGCGCTGTCTCAAAAGAACTACGATCCCACAGCTGCGGTTCCAGGATTGCAGGGGTCCTGAAACTGCAGCCTCCGGTACTGCAGCTACATAATATTGTTTTAAAGTGTTCCTCAGGTCTGATGTCATGTCTCAGAGTAAAGTCTGTAGCGCCCCCTGCGGCCGTAATGTTCATCACACAACAGAACCCAAACCAGCAGATCTAGAGCTGCAACGATTAGTCGATTGTTATTAATCGTCAACTGTTTTGGTAAAAAAATGATAATTTTTGATATTTTCAAAACGAAAATACAGAATATTTGTTGGTTGCAGCTGATTTAGTGGTTTTCTTTGTCAGACATGAAAAAAGCAAGATGAAACTTTTTCCCTGTTTTCTGTCCTTCAGCTCTGCAGAGTCGGCTGAAGTCACTGGAGGATCATCTGAACACACCAGCTGAGGGAGACCTGCTGAACGCAGACCTGCTCAGCGTCTTACAAGGTTCATCGTTCGGCTACAGACTACTATGATGGTGTTTTTGTGTCTTTTCGATGCAAGTAAAAAATTCAGCCGCACTGCAATCAAAAATCAAGTTTATAAAAAAACAAGCAAAATGTTTGGACTGCAAATCTGTCCTCGCAGTTCACATGTTTTTGCTAGTGAAAAAGTATAACAAGGTTTTTTACAAGTCAAAGTCTTGCGAGTGAAAATGTTTAGCAATTTTTTTCCATCCATTAAAACAACCAAAATCCTTTCATAGACGACCCGCTATATGTTTCTCGTTAGCGCATTCATTCACAGATTCACGTCCATCACTTCTTTTAATTGTCATTACATCTTTGACTTTCAACCTTTTAATCTTATCCATTTATTTTTTGTTTGTTCATGTAGAGTACTCAGCGTTTATATTAAACGACTCCGACTCTTAATCACTGTTGTTGTTCACGTTTATAGAAACTGACAGAATCCAGTTGAAGTTTGGTTCAGTCATCTGTTTTATTTTATTATTACATAAATATTAAGTCCATTACCTCAGTCTGAAGGATTTATTAATTAACTACAATAACATGGTTAAGGATGCGAGAACACACTATTTTTCTGAACTCATTACTACACATAAACACAATCCCAGGTTTCTGTTTAAGACTGTGGATCAGCTGGTAAACCCAACCCCTCCTTGTGCCTCAGCTGGAAGTAATGATGACTGTGAATTGTTTTTATCTTATTTTACCAATAAGGTGGTGTCAATCAGAGCCTCTATTACCCCCGCGGCCTCTTACTCAGAGGTTCCTCACCAGCAACAACAGAGTTTTAACCAGTTTTATCCCATCGACTTGTCTGAGCTTTTAAAAACAGTATCACAAATGAGAGTGTCCTCCAGCCCACTTGATGTAATACCTACAAAGTTTTTACTGAAAGTAATAGATTCTGTTGGGCCCTAATTGATCTCTGTTTTCAACAGCTCCCTATCTACTGGTTGTGTCCCTGATTATTTTAAAACGGCTTGCGTGAACCCACTTTTAAAGAAACCTGGTTTAGATCCCTCCCTCCCACATAATTTTAGACCAATTTCAAAATTGCCTTTTATTGCAAAGATTCTAGAAAGAATTGTGTCCAAACAGCTGCTCACTGTGCTGGAAAATAACAAATTATTTGAAAAGTTTCAGTCTGGTTTTAGGAAGTACCACAGCACTGAGACTGCCCTGCTTAAAGTCACCAATGACCTTTTAATGTCTGCTGATGAAGGTATGTGCTCAGTCCTTGTACTCCTGGACCTTAGCGCTGCTTTTGACACCATTGATCACAACATCATGTTAGACAGACTGAGGCACTGGGTGGGGATCTCTGGTACTGCTCTAGAATGGTTTTCATCCTACCTGTCAAATAGGAAGTTTTGCGTGTCTGTAAACAACTATGTCTCTTCATTCTGTCCAGTTAAATATGGTGTGCCTCAGGGGTCGGTCTTAGGACCCATTTTGTTTTCCTTGTATCTGCTTCCCCTTGGACATATTATCCATAAACATGGCATTTCTTTTCATATTTATGCTGATGACACACAAATATACTTGCCCGTCAGATCTACAGACCCTGGAATGCTGAGTTCACTTAACAACTGCCTTTGAGAAGTTAAAAAATGGATGTCAAATAATTTCCTCCAGCTGAACTCAGACAAAACAAAAATCCTGGTCATCGGGTCCCAGCAGATGGCAAATCAAATACTGCCATCTGCTGGTTCCCTAGTAAATCACATTAAGCCTGTGGCAAAGAACCTTGGTGTTTGGTTTGATAGTAATTTAAATTTCGAGCAGCACACCACAAAGCTTGTTCAATCATGTTTTTATCAACTTAGAAATATAGCAAAAATTTGATCTATGTTAACTTTTAAGGACACCGAGACCATTTTACACGCCTTCATCTCATCACGCCTGGATTATTGCAACAGCCTTTTCACCTGTTTAACCCAAAAATCTATTGATCGACTCCAGACTGTCCAGAACTCAGCTGCCAGGCTTTTAACCAGAACAAAGAAATATGACCACATTACTCCTATTTTAGCTTCATTACACTGGCTCCCAGTATGTTTTAGAATTGACTTTAAAATTCTATTGATCACTTTTAAAGCTCTTCATGGCCTCTCGCCTTGTTATATTTCTGACCTTTTAGTCCCATACGCACCAGCACGTACCTTGAGATCCTCGGGCAGAGGTCTGTTGTCTGTTCCAGAGTCTCGACTGAAAACTAAAGGGGACAGAGCGTTTGCTGTCAGGGCCCCGAGGCTCTGGAACAGCCTGCCCGAGGAAATCAGGTCGGCTGAGTCAGTGAACTCTTTTAATTCCCTTCTTAAAACATACTTTTATAGGAGAGCTTTTCCCGATCTTATTTGACTTTATTTTATTATATTTTACTAATTTTATATTTATCTTAAAAATGTATTTTAGTCTTTTCAGTGTTTTCATGCTTTTATCTTGTATTGTTTTTGTATTATTGTCTCTTGGGTATTATTGTCTTTACACTTGTTAAAGCACTTTGTAACTTGATTTTTGAAAAGTGCTCTACAAATAAAGATTATTATTATTATTATTATTATTAAGTGTTAATTTATATTTGACTGATTTCAGATCAGGTACCAGAGATCAGGCTGAACTCCAGCCAACATCACCTGGACGAGCTGAAGAGAGACTCTGCAGGTGGGTCACATGACACACGGTCACATGATCAGTCAGTAAAGCAGATTATGATTCTGTTTTTAAAATGTGAGAAATGATTTTCAGATCACACAGGTCGACTGCTCGCTGTCGAGAGACGAGTGGAGGAGCTGAAGACAGGAAGCACAGGTATAAGAAATACACGTCTATTATTATTAATACAGGACGGAAAAAGATCTGCTCCCTCACATAAACATGATGTTGAAATATCACAGCATCTGTGTTCCTATAAGAAAATGCTCGGTCCTGGTAAAGTCTGCAGCGATGCAACAAGCATTTACATTTATTCATTTAGCTGACGCTTTTATCCAAAGCGACTTACAGCTGCTATACATGTCAGAGGTCGCACGCCTCTGGAGCAACGAGGGGTTAAGTGTCTTGCTTAGGGACAACGTCTGGAGAGGAGGACAAATATGTACTTATATACTGTATTATATACGTGTGTGTGTGTGTGTGTACCAGTGGTGAATAAAGTACACAGATTCTGTACCTGAGTAAAAGTACACATACCCTGGCTAAATATTACTCCGCTACAAGTAGAAGTCTTCAATTTAAATTTCTTCCTCATTCAAAGTACAAAGTACTTGCTGTAAACATACTTTAGTATCATCAGTATGGTTCTGTTTGTCTGCGGTTGCTGACAAGCAGAATTTAAAAATACAGCAAACTTTCCTCTTTATTAAACAATAGCATTAATTAATAAAACAGGTTTCAATAATAATTCAGCTTACTCAGATATGTGTGTGTGTGTGTCAGTGGTGCACGAAGCATTCAGAACCTTTACTTGAGTAAAAGTATGTGAGTATAATCATGAAAAGGTTCTTGAGTATTCAAAGTAAAAGTACTTAATGTACTGTGACTGTTGTATATTAGAATATTATTATATAAGCAGGATTTTAACTGTTTTGTGTCAGAGTGAATCTGATAATTATTTTGTCCATTAATTGATTTAGAAAATAGTGAAAATAGTGAGAAACACCGTCCCAGTTACCCAGAGCCCAAAGTGTTTGTTCCCTCAGTCCAAACCTCAAAATGATAAATAAAATGTCAATTAAAATAATAAAAGAATAAGGAATAACAGCAAATCTTTACATGAAATGTTTTTACATGAAAAATGACTTCAACCATCAAAGTTGTTCATCCGACTGTCAGTCTAATGATCCTGTCAGCTGTACAAACTGCTGCAGTTTAATTTACAACTATAACTGAAGCTGTCAGATAAATGTAGTGAAGTAAAAATA